AGTGAGGAACTCGCTTTTATCTTCGTTGTTGCTTTGTCCAAGTGTAATGTGTGCAAGGTCCCAAAGTATGGGCATTATGTTGTATGCATGTTGTGGTACGAGAGTCTATGGATGATGAATGCCTCACTGTCCACGATAGCTGGATGGGTAGATATGTGGGCGCTTACAGGCACACTTTTGGGAAATGTTGGGCGCCGACCGTCTGCATGGATGCACGAGTGTGTTGGATATCCTTCCCTTTCCCTGACCCCTTTCCGATCCCCCATCACCACGTGTATGCACGGGTTCGGCGCCAACCTCCTCCCTTTCTCTCCCCTTTCGTGCGCGCAGGAGATCCAGGACATGGCTGTCGTGCCCCACAATTTACACTTGGTAACCGGGGAGATCAGTCGCCTGCATCTCCGCGACGTGGCTGATATCTCCGCGAGGTCACCTTCATCCTATTAACTAAACCACGATCACGACCCCGAATCCCTTAACCAACACGCAACGCAGAGAGAGAGAGAGAGAGAGAGAGAGAGAGAGAGAGAGAGAGAGAGAGAGAGAGAGAGAGGCGGGTTCTATTGATCCTTGCACGGAACCAGCATTCGTCTCGATGGACGCGAGCACGGGCCCTTGCCTGTGCTCACCCTTCGTCTCGGTCCACCGCAGCATGCTGCCATCCTTTGCGATCGCAGACGACAATAGCGTGTACTGTGAGGAGGACTTGTGGAGCACTCTACGACGAACTGAGCAGATTCATCTGTATAACCTCATTAGGGTCTGCCACATAGGACGAAGTGGGTTCGTGTTGATTGATCGGTTCTCTTCCCCTCCCCTGATACTGGCCTATACCAACCTGATAGTGTTGCCCTAGTCCACAGCCCATGCCACGTGGCGACCTCAGTTTAATTGTCGCTGGTGTCGTTAGGAGGATTCATGTTCCTGGCGAAGACTACTCTTGGAATATGAAAGTGCGGCTCGACTCCTAGAACTCTCCCGCAATGAGGGCGCGCTTCCGACTAACTTTCGAACCTGGGTTCCCTCCGCCTAGCCGACAATCGGTGACACCGAGCTAGGACGCATGCGCGGGCTTGACGAATCTAACACTGAGGCCTGAAAATTCCATATTCTCGAGCAGCCGTCACAAAGTTTGCACGAACCTGGCACAAAAAGGGAAGCGGTAAATTCCACTTCCTTGTCCATTTCTTTTCCTTTTCGGGTTTTGTTGATGATCGACCAAGTAGCGCATCGATTTCTGTCTCCTTGGCGAGCGTAAGTTTTTGAAAACAGGACAAAGCGGGCCTCTTCGGAATAATCTCTCTCTCCATCCCTTGTATCTTAGGAACGCCTTGGTACGAAACAAGAATCCCCCATTCCGCGCGGGCGATTCAACCCCACCGGCCAAAAATCCTCGGCCACACCCCCATTTCACTCTGGTCGCCATTCGCGGTACAGAAGGGTGTGTGGGGTGTGAGGTTACGCATCACAATGCTGATAAAAAAGATTAGGGGGGACAACTAGCAAGGAACGTGAGAATCGGGAAGATCCTGTGATCTGGCAGGAATGAAGGTAATCAAGTGGATGGCGAAAGAGGTGGAGACGAAGAGCCTCCTCCAGGAGAACAACATGGATTAAGGATTGTAGGGCCTAAGGAGGAGGGTGAGGGGGAGCAGGACCTCCGCCAGCAGCGGAAGCATTCGACTCCATTGTGGTGATCACGATACTCCTCTTTTGCAGCTCAGGATCCCGAGTGGCATCATCTGGTACAACGGAGGGTCTTGGTCAGGATGCTGCTGATGAATCTTGGACTCCTTCCCACGATAAGCTAACCAATGAGGCAGCTTCTCGTCACGATCTTGATCGCCTTGCCTTTCGACTTGTGGCCTCCCCTTCCCTCTCCGTATTCTTTCTTCAGACTCAATCCGGGAGTACGGTTGACTCTCGATCGTTGACAACATCCCCTGGTTGCTCTGATGTGCGCCCCAAAAATTCGGATTACAATCGTCGAGGGCGGCGCTATCCGGGTACTCAAGATCTGATAGTGAAGTCGGCTCTCCATGTCTGGGAGGGACATCTCTCCAGGGCTTCTTCAAGGTGACCTTCGTCTCTCCAGGTAGAGCGATCGCCAACCAATGAAAACAACCAGCTTTGTGACGATCCTCGTTCGATGTCCTTTGACGATGTCCACGTACAAAATTGCATCTGTACCCCACTTCAAGATGGGCATGGCCGCTAAGCCCAGTTCCAGCGCCTAAATTGCATCTACTATACCCGGGGCCGCAACAAACCGTGCAAGCAGTCTTATGTCAACAAATGGAACAAAAGTTCAAAACACTGACAGTTGACTTTTCAAGTCAATTCTCCCATTCATTTACAGGTCTCGCTAGAGGGGTTCAACTTTGCATAGCACCCAACTTTTCCCCTACGGAAAATACATAGCCAGTCCTGGAGGCCCTCGGTTGCAGACCAGAAAATTAGACTAACGAGGCCCAGGAACAGGCAGGCAAAATTGTGGGTGGACCCACACCCAGGGGCGGGCCTTGGACTGCGGACGACAAAATTATGCTCATGCCACCACGTGGACGATCGCGACCCCCCGGCTGTCATGGGTATGCGCATAATTTCAGCCATCCAGTAGCAGTGCATATGAGTAATTCGGCCACCAGGCTCTCGTGGGTATGAGCATAATTTCAGCCATCCAGTGGTAGTGTATATGAAGACTTTGGCCTGTCCACCTCAGTCCCGAATATGCCCCTAATTTTGCCTGTGTATGTCCATAATTTATGCATTAGGGTAGTTGGTTATCACTGCAATTTTGCGGTACCATCCTGGGCCTACCTCAGTCCTGGGCATCGGAATAATTTCCACAGGCCGTTTTCTAGGTATATGTGCAAGTTGGCATATTCCCATCTTTAAGTGGGGTACAGATGCAATTTTCCCTTTTCACATTTTGTGAGCGGCGTGGCAAGGCCCACCCTGACGGCCTCTACCAGCTCTCCAGGGCCCGAAGCAGTTCTCCAGGCCCATCGATCCAGTGGAGTAGTCAGGATGATGCCATAACCAGTTGAAGTTCACCAAGTGCCACGCTTGTCGCTCTCTGCGGCGCCTCGAAATGGTTTCTGAAATTCGAGGGTCCATCTGACACCTGGCGCTTTTCGTTTAATGCGGCGCAAAGATCCGCAGTCCAAATCGTCGAGTTTGTTAGGGTTTCCGTGCATGTTCTTCCGTTCCGCGAGAATATGGGCCTACTGTAGTTGCACTACGCTCCACACTCGGCGGAGGTGTGGAGACTGAAAAAAACTGGAAAAAAAAAAACAAAAAACAAACTGGAGGCCTGTTTGCACTTATAGGGCATCGCCACACCACTCTCGAAATGTGAAAAAGACAAATGTGGCGGGCGCATCTGGCCACGTTCTGCCGGGAAGTTCATTCTCATTTTGCACATTTCGAGAGTGATGTGGCGATGCCCTAAGGCCTACCGTAGTCGCCGTTGGGCGGGTAACGAGAGGAGGAGCGAAGGGAGGGGGGGCGAGGGAGGGGCGAATACCTGTAACTGGTGGGGAGCACGGGCGGTGAATCCAGCGCTTTGTTCGGTGGGAGAACGAGGACAGACCGGCCTTCGTGGAAACAAGCAGGAAGATGATGTAAAGCATGTAAAGCGCCAATAGAATTTCTCCGGAGATCCGCGGCTGATGTGAACACACTACCCGATCTGCCGACTTCGCAACTGCAAACCTACGCGGCGTCGCTTCACTGCACAAAACTCTATAAATGAATCCGGCCCTCGAAATGGTCCCAGTACGTCCAAAATGTTTTTTGTTTTTTTTTCCGTCCAAAATGGTTTTTTTTTTTTAACGTCCAAAATGTTCCACCAGTCCAATGGTATCTGGTCCATGGTGGAGTCCGAGTGCGTGTCGAATTTTGGACAAGTGGAGCGAGACCCTACGTCATGACCGCTACGTATAACAACCCAATCGGTCGTATCGTAACCACGGGTAGCGTTCGAGGCAGGCAAAAGAACAACGAGGGTGTGGTTCCACCGTGCTTCGGGCCCCACACATGAACTCCGCTGTGTCCATTTATTGCGACTGGAATGCCAAGATTCCCCCATTTTATTTTAATTCCGTTTATGCCACCAGAACTCTTGACGCCGGTTCGTGCAACAATAAACAAACCTCATGATGTACCAACACTATACGAACTGGCCAACGTGTGTTGTACCAGAGGCTATCTTAATTGCAGATTCGTGCGGATCGGCGGCGAATTCCGCTGGTCGAGAAGAATTCAAATGTCAGTTGTCCTCTTCATTTGACTTTCGTCGAGCCGCCGACAAAATCTCCAGGACAACCAACTGGCTTCGCATCGTCGCCCGGGTGCGCCGGTTGCGACAAAGAGTGAAAGCGACGAAGTGTGAAAGCGACAAAGTGTGAAAGCGCATTTGCAAAGTTCGACATGCAGGACGTCAAGTTTTAGCAAACAGCATATTGACCATTCGCGAAAGCCTACCGACATCACAGAGCATGCGGCAGAAACCGGTCGTCTGCGAGATTCTGTCCGGCCAGGCCGGCAATCGGCACAGGCTGAAGAAAGCAAAGACATCCCAGCAGATGACGAGGGGAATTGGGACGACTTGGGCCAGTCTAAGAAGCCATTTTCCCATACAAGCAATAGCCGAGGAAATAGGGAAGAAGTCTGAACATATTTGCATAAGACGAGTCAACAGACCCTTGAAGTCGAGCAAATTCTCAAAGAAACATGTCCATAAGCCAACAACTCTCTCTCTCTCTCTCTCTCTCATACTCTCTCACACACGCACGCACACAAACACGCACACACACACACAGACACACACAACACGCACACACACACACACAGAGGTGCAGCATTGGAATACATTCCGAATAACCAGCTTACGACAGGAGAAGAGAGCGTAGTCGCAAATTACGTCCCAGATTTCCTTAGTGTAAAACAGCAGTCGTAACAACAATCATTCAGTATGGACCAGCCATCACCAGCGAGCCACAAGAGCCGCCGTTACCTGTCCACGACCCAACACCTACCCTAAACTACGAGTGCTCCTATCTTCACATGGACCATTGTCACATCCGCCTTTCATTGAATCGTAGATGAGGAGAGGGCGATCGAAACCACACCCACACATCGCGTTGGCATATTTTCCCATGGAATCAGCGTGCCAGAACAACAGATTAACACGCTGAACCGAGCGAACGTATTCAATCGAAGAGCACGTTGCAGACCTCCCGTCCGCTTCTGGTCGGTTCATCGGTAATAAAGCATGAGATGACGCCATAACAGATCTGAACAGACCGTCTTAACGTCCCTTGGGAAGTGTGACCACGAGTCTCCCCTCCCGAGCTCCATACACCCACATCAACGACGGCGACTCCCATACATCATCATCCCCCCCTAACACTCGAGTATCAGGTCACACACAGACCGACTAGAGTCCCTCCATCTTAGACTACTCCCCCTGCTCACCAACATCTTAACCCAAATTCCATCTTACAAAAAACACGCGCGCATGCCGCCACCTCTTCGTCCCTGTTCCAATCTCACCCTCTCCGAATTCACTTCAGTAAAGTCGACTTGCACAATTCAATTCAATCGCCTTGGAGTCCCGAAGCACTCCACTTTCAGATCATCAGGCTTCCGCTAAGCACTCCACTTTTTTTCCCTCGGGCGTCATCCTCTCTTCTCATTTCAAGTTTTGCATCCCCACAAGAGGCATCCCCTATCCCGGCGACAGTTTTGCATCCCCACAACAAGCATCCCCTATCCCGGCGACTGCAGATACACTAAGTCGAGCAACTACACTCCATACTCTACATCTCCCAATCGCACGGACGGCAAAGGCAAGGTACTAAAACTCATCGTACTATACATTTCCCCATCCAGCGGCCAATGCTCTACCCCTACAAACGTATCATCCCACTATGTATTGTTACATGAATAGACGCAGGATCTTCGCCGATCGGTGTGCTACCCCTTCGAGGAAAACGTAGTTCCTTTCAGGGTTAAGTCAATACCCTCGACATCGCCCCCATGTGATTTTCCCTGTCACCGTCGACCCTACGCTAGCCCCACGCGGCTCGGCTTACAGCGTCACCTACTCCACGATTCCTTGAAAGTGCGCGACCTGGTCCAACGCTGCCTTTTCACACCCACTCTGCGATCTATAGACGTACAGAGAGAGTATTACGACGGGAAGGTAATCGCATGACCGTACAATGGGAGGGGAAATCGCACGACCAAAACATGACGACGCATACACACCCGCCACCACGGCTTAAACTGCAACGCAGGAAGAGCACGCCTCACCTTTTCACAGTCGGTCGGTGTTTAACTGAGTGCAGTCGGTGCTTAACTGAGTGCACGCCGCGGCGGAGCAGGTCGATCGCAAACATGGACAATATCTCCGAGCAGAGACCCTTTCAACGAATGGGTAAATTGAGACCTTGAAAGACAAAGAACCTTATCTCCGCCACCAAAGGCTGTCAATGCCAGAAACATGCAGAGAACGCGCTCGACATGGCGTGACGAGTATTGGGCAAGAACGACACAGATGTAACACGCGCAAGTAAGAAAGGTCGTGGTCTCCACCACAAGACAGACGATCAAAACCCTTTTCTGACTCTAATCGCCGTTAAACGAAAAGGACGAGTCCGTGTTCTCTGTCACTCGACTGGCATCTGTCAGAAAACAATAAATCGATCGAGCTGTGCCTTGCCTCGGCCATATACCGCTATCTATCTGCCAGAAAACAATAAATCGATCGAGATGTGCCTTGCCTCGGCCATATAGCGCTGTCTAGAAATACAGGAAATTAAGAGTCGTGAGCCTAACGAGCCATGAGAACATGAACATTCTGTAGATTGATGACTACCATGCCCTATATAGCGCTACCATAACGTCTCAAGTGAGCAGTCATGCCGTCTTCTCCTGTCAATAGCTGTGCCTACGATTGTACTATAGTTACAAACGAATCTTCCTTCTAGCAGTGAAACGAGCTTGCGCAAGTTCCCCCGAATACAACGTACGGTCATTATAACCGTATTTGGGGCATCTTTCAGTCTAGATACAGATATAATGACCGTACGTTGTATTCGGGGGAAGAAGGTAGCTGCCTACAATGGTACTACAGTTATATAAATAATAGCAGTAAAGCAGACACGTGCAACTTGGGAGGCGAACTTTCTTCGGTATGTCTATGAAAAATTACCACAAAAGCTCTCAGATATCATACTCCACTGCAATGCTTTTCCGTCAGTACACCTTCAATTGAAACACTTCTTGAGCCACGACGTAAGACCATTCCTCTCCGTCCGACAAGTGACGATAGATGAGTGCTGGTCCTGCCGAACATCACTCAAAAAATAAACCCTCTTGACTTCAAGAACTGAAAAACGCAATCCCTTCATCGACATCTACATTATCAGCGAGTTCAGCATTTACGTTCTTCCTTGTCAATGAGATTCTTCCAATATCCAGAAAGAACTGCCGCTTCGCAGTTTTCCACACTCTGTGCAAACAAGTTGGAACCATGTAAGAGATGCAAACAACAAGCAAAAATACGGATGAAAAATTGGGCGAGAAGCTTCGCATCCGTGGGATGGCAGATTTTCGATGAAAGGCGTTTGTGATGGGTCGCATCCGTCGGATGGATGGCAGATTTTCCATGAAAGGCGTGTGTGATGGGATCAGATAAACAGGAGCTACAGAGACAAAGCTCAATTAAAAACAGGAAAGCGAGAGAGAGAGAGAGAGAGAGAGAGAGAGAGAGAGAGAACATAACGAAGTTAACAAAAGAACGAAACAACGTACGACGAGTGTACTGGGGTAGGAGGAGAAGAAAAAGACGAAAAAGAAGGAAAACAGAAGACGGCACCGCGGAGGAGAGTGGACACCCTCCGCCTCGAAAACCCATGCAATGAAAATGAATGGAAATGAATCGGGCAACGCTCGAGTCCATCTGCCATGAATTTCCGCAACTCAGTCAGAAGAGACATCTGACACCAGAGTTTAGTTTCTTTGCTCGCCAACTACAATGATATCCCAGTAGACAAAACTCGCCAAGCACTCTTCCGTGTTTAATGAAAATGAATTCTACGGTACAAGGACATATATGGGACCATCCCATGCAATGAAAATGAATGGAAATGAATCGGGCAACGCTCGATTTGCCTCAACAACCGACCGCTCACCATTCTCTCTCTCTCTCTCTCTCTCTCTCTCTCTCTCTCTCTCTCTCTCTCTCTCTCCGCATCAAAAAATTGAGTCACTCTCGACTTCCTCGTCTCCAAGCTTTTCCTTCGACTCTTAAACCACCAACACTTCCCGGCATACACGCGGAGGCGAAGACTGAAATGTGCCAGTTCATGCAGAACCTCCACAAAACCCGGAGTCGAGCCGCGAGCTGCTTCCCACAACGAAGCTGGCAGGATATTGGTGATTTCACGCCGACTTCCAAACGATCCCCCCCCCTTACACTTCGCATCCCTCACGGTCCTACTTTCCCCTCCTATTCGAAACACATCTTCTCCCTCCCCAAAGTAAAGCATCCTCACCATCATCCTCACCATAAATTCCACGCTACCCCTCCCTCTCCTGTTCCGCACCTCACCTCCGCTCGAGACTCTGCTCCTTGGTCTCACCTGCGGAATTTGTCAGCATCCTCTTTCGCACAACTCTCTCCACGTCTGCACCACCACACTCCCCCTCCCAATTCCCCCCCTCCCTTTTCTCTTCGAACCGTTTTCCTCTCTCTCTCTCTCTCTCTCTCTCTCTCTCTCTCTCTCTCTCTCTCTCTCTCTTGCTAAATCGGTCAACCTATCAGTAACACGCACCGACGAGAAGAATGGAAGCACAGGCGGCCCCAGGCAGGCAAAGGCACACCATTGACACTTCTTTTTTGATTCACCGAGCAATTCCGGACAAACGTGCAATTCGCCGTCCATCTATGCCCGCGCACGCACGAATTAATGAATGTTGGAAACCGCAGACTAAATTTACAACAATGAAATGATGAAGATGACGCAGAAACGCTAACACTCAAACGAATGTGCCTCTCCTCCCTCCGAAAACCGGAAAAGCACGCAAGCACGCGGGACCTTCTACGAACCCATAAAGCAACGGACAATTCCCGCACACAACAAACTCACCTACCTTCTCTGCCCTGCTCTGCTACCCACCCTCAGCGTACAGCCGGCAAGCAAAGTCATATGAATCTCATCTCTCTCTTTCTCTCTCTCTCTCGCTCGCTCTCTCTCTCTCCCCCCAAATAGATGTCACCCGCGTGACCAAAACACAATCGCTTACACCGCGAGTTCCGCTCGTGGTAGCGGTAGCGGTCGCAGCCCAACACCTTTCCTCCCTCTCTCAGCCGCCTCCTATCTCTTCACTCCTCTCCCAATAATGATAAAACCGATATGGCCTGCGCACATGAAATCCGCACAGGAGACCAATCACGGAATTACTGCGCTTTCTAGATTCCGCATCAAAAAACAACTTCGGAGAGAACTGGGTCAGGCATACGTCTGCTACCGACACCTCCGTGTCCGCCGCTCTTCCATCCCCTCAAATCGCATAGCTCTTCCGGTCTCCCTTCGATTGGAAACCATTTACTTCTATTACCCCTAAATTTCAGAAAAACGGTAGATTTTGCGCTCTCTCTCTCTCTCTCTCTATCTATCTATCTCTCTCTCTCTCTCTCTCTCTCTCTCTCTCTCTCTCTCTCTGTGTGCCTGCCCCATCCATTCCTCGCTGTGCCACGCCCGCATCACAACAGCCCGAAAGCCGACGACTTATGGACGGTAGAAAAGCCCTCTTCTGCAGTACGGAATGGGAAATTGATATGGATGACATCAAAAAATGACTCCACGCGTAACGCGTAATTCATTCTCGTGAGGCCACCGCGTTTCCAAGAAATGCGCCAGAATACTCCCAATCTTGCGTCTCACCTCATAACCCACACTACTGGCCCGCCTTCCCAACCACTACGTCGATTTCACGGCAGCATCAGTGATACGGAGCTGACTCCTTGCTGAACTCAAGTGGCGTCTTCAGCCGGAACAGTATTTCCACTTTGTCCATCACATCCCCGAGAATAGCGTATACACGATGATGCCTCTCAACGAGCGACATTTTGTCAAAAATTCGAGACACCACTTCCACTCTGCAACACACAATCAACATAAGAACATCACAACAGACTTATTTCGTGAGAGCCTGCTGCACAAGCACAACTACCAGCAACAACAATTTTTCCAAAACTTCAAAAGACTCCATCCTTATCTCCTGGGCAGGAAACCGAGAGATACACGAAGAGCAATACAGTACGCAACTGCATCCAGACAAGAAATTACAACGCAAGGCGTATCGAATCACCCCCATAAAATAAACCAGATATATTCCCGTACACAAAGAGACGAGATATGCCTTCGAATCCACACAACAAACGAAGTCTTACATATTGCCCACAAGAGGGCTTCAGTGATCGGCACCTAAACGGCGACAGCCAAAACAAAACTAACTACCATTAACACCCACCGAAGCGATCTGCTCGCCGAAATGGTAATTCAGAACCTCAACTGCATGACCTCAAAGCAAACCCCTCAAATTCTGCGTTCGACTGCAGTCCGCCGCATATGCCTCTCTCTCTCTCTCTCGCTCTCGCTCTCGCTCTCTCTCTCTCTCTCTCTCTCTCTCTCTCTCTCTCTCTCTCTCTCTCTCTCTCTCTCTCTCTC